GGGGGAAGGGGAGAGGAGAACGGGAGGATATGGAGAGAGGGAGAGGAGAGAGACTGTGGTAGAGGAGGGGACTGTGGAGAGATATACTGTGGAAGGGAGAAGGAGGGAGAGGAGGAATTGTAGAGGAGAGACTGTGGGGAGAGAGAGAGAGGAGAGGAGAGACTGTGTAGAGGAAGAGGAAGGAGGGAGACTTTAGTGGGAGAAGGAGAGGAGAGACTGGGGGAGGGAGACTGTTAGAGGGATAGGGGCGTGGTAAGGAGAGAGGAGAGGAAAGAGACTTGTAGAGGGAGACGTGGAGAGGAGAGAGAGGGAGGAGAGGAGACTGTGTAGAGGAGAGGAGAGAGGGAGAGGAGACTGTGGTAGGAAGACTAGAGGGAGAGACTGTAGGGAAGGAGGGAGAGGGGGGGACTGGATAGGAAGAGACGGGAGGGAGAGAGGGAGAGGGGGAAAACCCTGTTAGAGAGAGAGGAGGAGGAAACTGTGGAGTGGAAAAGAGGCGGGAAAAGAGCGGAAAAAGGAAAAGGGGGGGAAAAGAGGAAGACTGTGGTAGAGGAGAGACTTGGTGGGAGAGACTGTGGTAGAGAGAGATTTGGGGTAGAGGAGGAGGGGGGGAAAGAGACTGGTAGAGGAAGGGGAAGAGGGAGAAGACTGTGGTAGGGGAGAGAGGGAGAGGAGGGGACTGTTATGAGAGAGGGAGAGGAAGAGACGGTAAAGGAGAGAGGGAATGAAACTTTAGAGGAGAGAGGAAGAGAGACTGAGAGGAAGATGGAGAGGAGAGAGGAGGAGAGATGTGGGAGTGGAAAAGAGGAAGAGAGAACTGGAGGGGGAATGATTGAGAGGGAGAGACTATTGTATAGGAGGGGGAGGGAAGGGAGGACTAGGAGACTGTGAGAGGAGAAGGAGAGGAAGAACTGAGAGGAGGAGGGAAAGAGACTGGTAGGAAAAGGGGAAAAGAAGAGGAGAAACTGTGAAGGGAGAAAAGGTGAGAGGAGAAACAGAGGAGAGAACTGTGGTAGATTAATAAACAAGAGAGACTGGTAGAGAGATAGGGAGAGGATAGACTGGTAGATGGAGACTGTGGTAAGGAGAGACTGTGGTAGAAGGAGAGAGGGAGAGGAGAGACCTGGTAGAGGAGAGAGGGAGATGAAGACTGTGGGTAGAGTAAGAGGGAGTGAGAGACTGTTGTTAGTGGAGAAGTGGAGGAGAGACTGGTAGATGAGAGAGAGGGAGATGAGAGAACTGGTATAGGAGAGAGGGAGAGGTGAGACTTGTTATAGGAGAAGGAGGGTAGAGACTTGTAGAGGAGAGGGGAGATTAGATACTTGTGTTAGAGGAGAGACTGGTAGAGTAAGAGGGAAGAGGAGATACTGTGGTAGTGGAGAGAGGAGAGATAGACTGGTCTGAGAGTAGAGGAGAGGAGAGACTCTTTAGATGAGGAGAGAGGTAGAGTATAGACTTTTGTTAGAGGATAGATGTAGAGTATGCTGGTTATATGAGAGAACTTATAGGAGAGACTGGTAGATGAGACGAGAGTAGAACTGTGGTAGAGGATACATGTGGTAGAGGAGAGAGGGAGAAGGAAGACTGTTGTCAGGATAAACAGAGAGGAGAGACTGGTGGTAGAGGGAAACAGAGAGGAGATACGTGGGAGAGTAGAAACAGAGAGGAGAGATGTTTGAAGAGAGGGAAGGGAAAGGAGAAGACTGTGTAGAGGAAGGGGGAGTAAAGACTGTAGTAGAGGGATAGAGGGAGAGAGAGACTGTAGTGAGTAGATCACGGAGATGCGAGAGCTGGTTAGAGGAGAATAGTTAGAAGAAGCTGTTGAGAGTAGGATGAGAGGGAGGACTGTGTCTATTCGAAACAGAGGGATATACTGTTGTAGAGTAGAGACTGTTGTGAGAGAGAGGAAGGATAGACTGGTAAGAGGAGAGAGGGAGAGGAGAAACTGTGGTAGAGGATCGACTTGTGGTAGGGAAGAACTGTGGGTAAGGAGAGAACTGTGGTAGAGGAGAGACGTGGTAGAGGATAGACTGTGGTAGAGGAGATAGGGAGAGTAGAGATTGGTAGATGAGAGACTGTGGTAGAGAGAAGCGGGAGAGGAGAGACGGTTGTAGAGGAGAGAGGGAGAGAGAACGGGTGGTAGTGGAGAGACGGAGAGGAGAGACTGGTAGATGAGAGACTTTGGTGAGGATAGACTGTTGCCGAGGAGAGGAGGGAGAGAGATACTGGTAGAGGATAGACTGTGGTAGAGGAAGAGAGGGAGAGGGGGGATAGACTGTGGTAGAGGATAAGTGATAGGAGAGACTGTGGTAGTAGTGGAGGAGACGAGAGGATAGACTGGTAGAGGATAGAGTTAGATAGAGTTACTGGGATAGGAGAATACTTTTTTATAGGAGATGGAGATGACGAGACTGTGGTAGAGGAGATAGTGGAAGAGGAATACTGTGTAGTGGAGAGACGGAGAGGAGAGACTGGTAGAGGAGAGAGGGAGAGGAGAGACGTGGTAGAGGAGAGACTGTGGTAGAGGAGAGACTGGTGTGGTAAGAGGACAGAGAAGGAGAGACTGTTGTAGTTTATAGAGTGAGAGGAGAGACTGGTAGAGGAAGAGGGAAGATGAGAGACTTGTAGAGGAGAGATTGAGAGGAGAACTGTGTTAGAGGAGAGACTGGTAAGAGGAGAGAGGGGAGAGGATAGACGGTGGTAGTGGAGAGAGGGGAAGGAGAACGGTAGAGAGAGAGGGAGATGAAGCCTCTGTATAGAGAGAGGATAGAGAGACTGTGGTTAGAGGATATAGGGATATGCTATACTGTTAAGATTAGCAGACGGAGATGAGAGACGTGGTAGAGAGAAACAGAGAGGAGAAAAACTGTGGTATAGGAGCAGACTGTGGTAGGGAGAGAGGGAGAGGAGAGACGTGGTGTTAGAGGAGAACCAGCGAGGAGAGACTGTGGTAGAGGGAACCAGAGAGGAGAGACTGTGTAGAGGAGAAAGAGAGGAGAGATGTGAGGAAGAGAGGGAGAGAGATACTCTGGTAGAGGAGAGCTGTGGTAGAGGAGAGACTGTGGTTAGAGGAGGAGAGGGAGAGGAGAGACTGGAGAGGAGAGAGGGAGAGAAGACTGTGGTAGAGGAGAGAGGAGAGGAGAGGACTGTTGTAGTTGAGAGAGGGAGAGGAGAGACTGGTAGAGGAAGAGGGAGATGAGAGACTGGTAGAGGAGAGAGGGGAGAGTGAGAGACTTGTAGAGGAGAGAGGGAGAGGAGAGACTTGTAGAGGAGAGAGGGAGAGGAGAGACTGTGTTAGAGGAGAGACTGGTAGAGGAGAGAGGGAGAGGAGAGACTGTGGTAGTGGAGAGAGGGAGAGGAGAGACTGGTAGAGGAGAGAGGGAGATGAGAGACTATTGTAGAGGAGAGAGGGAGAGGAGAGACTGTGTTAGAGGAGAGAGGGAGAGGATAGACTGGTAGAGGAGAGACGGAGAGGAGAGACTGGTAGAGGAGAAACAGAGAGGAGAAACTGTGGTAGAGGAGAGACTGTGGTAGAGGAGAGAGGGAGAGGAGAGACTGTGGGTAGAGGAGAAACAGAGAGGAGAGACTGTGGTAGAGGAGAAACAGAGAGGAGAGACTGTGGTAGAGGAGAAACAGAGAGGAGAGACTGTGGGAGAGGAGAAACAGAGAGGAGAGACTGTGGGAGAGGAGGGAGGGAAAGGAGAGACTGTAGTAGAGGAGAGAGGGAGAGGAAAGACTGTAGTAGAGGAGAGAGGGAGAGGAGAGACTGTAGTAGAGGAGAGACGGAGAGGAGAGACTGGTAGAGGAGAGAGGGAGAAGAGAGACTGTTGTAGAGGAGAGAGGGAGAGGAGAGACTGTGGTAGAGGAGAAACAGAGAGGAGAGGACTGTTGGTAGAGGAGAGACTGTGGTAGAGGATGAGAGGAGAGATGGGAGAGGAGAGACTGGTAGAGGAGAGAGGGAGAGGAAGACTGTTGGTAGAGGAGATACTTGTGTAGATGGATAGGCTGTGGTAGAGGAGAGAGGGAGAGGAGAGACTGTGGTAGAGGAGAGACTGTGGTAGAGGATAGACTGTGGTAGAGGAGAGAGGGAGAGGAGAGATTGGTAGAGGAGAGACTGTGGTAGAGGAGAGAGGGAGAGGAGAGACTGTGGTAGAGGAGAGAGGGAGAGGAGAGACTGTGGTAGTGGAGAGACGGAGAGGAGAGACTGGTAGAGGAGAGACTGTGGTAGAGGATAGACTGTGGTTAGAGGAAAGAGGGAGAGGAGAGACTGGTAGATGAGAGACTGTGGTAGAGGAGAGAGGGGAGAGGAGAGACTGTGGTAGAGGAGAGAGGGAGAGGAGAGACTGTGGTAGTGGAGAGACTGAGAGGAGAGACTGGTAGAGGAGAGAGGGAGAGGAGAGACTGGTAGAGGAGAGACTGTGGTAGAGGAGAAACAGAGAGGAGAGACTGTGGGAGAGGAGGGAGGGAAAGGAGAGACTGTAGTAGAGGAGAGAGGGAGAGGAGAGACTGTGGGAGAGGAGAGACGGAGAGGAGAGACTGGTAGAGGAGAGAGGGAGAGGAGAGACTGGTAGAGGAGAGAGGTAGAGGAGAGACGGAGAGGAGAGACTGTGGTAGAGGAGAGAGGGAGAGGAGAGACTGTGGTAGAGGAGAGAGGGAGAGGAGAGACTGTGGTGTGTGTGTGTGTGTGTGTGTGTGTGTGTGTGTGTGTGTGTGTGTGTGTGTGTGTGTGTGTGTGTTTGTGTGTATACCCCTCTGTCTTTGTGTGTGTGTCTAAATGCTAGTAGTCCTTTATGAGTCTAGTACTTATTTCCTCTCAGCCCATCAACTGAGCTCCAGGCTGCTTGTTGCAGTCTATGAAAATGGCATCAATCAATCAGTGGTGTGGTTAGCCCCAGCAGACTGGATGCATTGGCCAGGTGGTGTCTCTCTGTAGCCAGGTGGTGTCTCTATGTGGCCAGGTGAGGTCTCTATGCGGCCAGATGGTGTCTCTATGTGGCCAGGTTGTGTCTCTATGTGGCCCGGTGGTGTCTCTATGTAGCCAGAGGGGGTTTCTATGTGGCCAGGTGAGGTCTCTATGTGGCCAGATGGTGTCTCTATGTGGCCAGGTGGTGTCTCTGTGTGGCCAGGTGAGGTCTCTATGTGGCCAGGTGGTGTCTCTATGTGGCCAGATGGTGTCTCTATGCTCCTTTCACAAGCCAGCCCTTGCCCTGGGTCAACCCCTCTTCTTCTCTACCCTGATACAGAACTTCTCTATCACTCATTCTCTCCTCACACCCAAAACAGTCTCCTCTCTATCTTAGTGTTACCCTGACCTGAACCTCTCTCCTCTTCACTCTCTATCTTAGCGTTACCCTGACCTGAACCTCTCTCCTCTTCACCCTCTATCTTAGCGTTACCCTGACCTGAACCTCTCTCCTCTTCACTCTCTATCTTAGTGTTACCCTGACCTGAACCTCTCTCCTCTTCACTCTCTATCTTAGCGTTACCCTGACCTGAACCTCTCTCCTCTTCACCCTCTATCTTAGTGTTACCCTGACCTGAACCTCCTCTCCTCTTCACCCTCTCTATCTTAGTGTTACCCTGACCTGAACCTCTCTCCTCTTCACTCTCTATCTTAGTGTTACCCTGACCTGAACCTCTCTCCTCTTCTCCCTCTATCTTAGTGTTACCCTGACCTGAACCTCTCTCCTCTTCACCCTCTATCTTAGTGTTACCCTGACCTGAACCTCTCTCCTCTTCACTCTCTATCTTAGTGTTACCCTGACCTGAACCTCTCTCCTCTTCACTCTCTATCTTAGCGTTACCCTGACCTGAACCTCTCTCCTCTTCACTCTCTATCTTAGTGTTACCCTGACCTGAACCTCTCTCCTCTTCACTCTCTATCTTAGTGTTACCCTGACCTGAACCTCTCTCCTCTTCACCCTCTATCTTAGTGTTACCCTGACCTGAACCTCTCTCCTCTTCACCCTCTATCTTAGCGTTACCCTGGCGAACCCACAACCCTGGCGTTGCAAGCGCCATGCTCTACCAACTGAGCTACAGGGGACTATGCTACAAGCTTGGCACATCTGTATTTGGGGAGTTTCTCCCATTCTTCTCTGCAGATCCTCTCAAGCTCTGTCAGGTTGGATGGGGAGCGTCGCTGCACAGCTATTTTCAGGTCTGGGCCACTTATGGACATTCAGAGACTTGTCCTGAAGCCACTCCTGTGTTGTCTTGGCTGTGTGCTTAGGGTCGTTGTCTTGTTGGAAGGTGAACCTTTGCCCCCGTCTGAGGTCCTGAGCGCTCTGGAGCAGGTTTTCATCAAGGATCTCTCTGTACTTTGCTCCGTTCATCTTTCCTTCGATCCTGACTAGTCTCCCAGTCCCTGCCTCTGAAAAACATGCTGCCACCACCATGCTAAACTATAGGGATGGTGCCAGGTTTCCTCCAGACGTGACGCTTGGCATTCAGACCAAAGAGTTTCATCACATCAGATCAGAGAATCTTGTTTCTCATGGTCTGAGAGTCCTTTAGGTGCAACATATCAAATGCACTGTATATATGTATGTATGATCTCTGTGGTAACTTGTATATCTGTACAGGGTTAACTCTAAATTACATTTTAGTCATTTAGCAGACGCTCTTATCCAGAGCGACTTACAGGAGCAATTAGGGTTAAGTGCCTTGCTCAAGGGCACATCGACAGATTTTTCACGTAGTTAGCTCGGGGATTAGAACCAGCGACCTTTCGGTTACTGGCACAACGCTCTTAACCACTAAGCTACCTGCCGCCCACAATTACTCTATGCAAAGGGTTTTTAATGTCCTCTCAGGAATTCTGTGTTATTTCCATTGGTCTCATCCCCCACACAAGCCTTTAGATGCTGTAACACCCTGTGGAGATTGGGCCTTGGTGGTCAGGTTATTGTAAACTTGGTATCGTTTGATTGGTCAATGGTGGTTGGTTTTGGGTTGAAAGAGTTACACCTTCAATGTGATACATTTAATGAAAAGCCTTTGTTCTCTCTTATCCTGTCTCCAATCCATGGAGGAAGGTTGTATGATCATTCTCATTTCCTAGGCCTCTAGGCATCTCTTTGTTCATGTTTTGTCTTGTAAGTTAACCTTAGAATCTATATGCTTGGAATAATGCCTGGTAATGCTTTTAACTTACATTTATGCCTTGTATGATTAAATATCTGCCTTTGATATAGACAATTATCAAACCAATTCACTCTTCACCCTCTATCTTAGTGTTAACCTGACCTGAACCTCTCTCCTCTTCTCCCCCCCCCCCCCCCCCCCCTTCTCCCTTTCTCTCTCTCTCTCTTCCTATCTTTCCATCTCAGTGTGCAGTAAAGGCCAGGCAGTGAGTGGACAGTATCGTATGCTGGCCAAACATGGAGGCTACGTGTGGGTAGAGACCCAGGGCACAGTCATCTACAACAACCGGAACTCCCAGCCACAGTGCATTGTCTGTGTCAACTATGTCCTCAGGTAGGGTCACAGGTCAAGGGTCAGGGGTCAAGGGTTGGGGGTCAGAGCTGAAGATGGTGAGGTTTGGGAGGGGGAGGCAGGGGGGACATAGAACATAAGATTAATTATTCTGGGTTTCCCTGATTAAGCCTACTCCAGGATGGAACAGCATGTTTGTTCACTGGAGATCCTCTACTGAAATGTGTTTTTAGTCCAGGATTAGGCTTAACCTGTGTCCAGGAAACTGGCCCATAGTGTCCAACATTGGGGGGAGGAAGTGATTCTGGAAGGCTGCTGGTTCAAATGTAGTACATTACAGTAGTACAGTAGCTTAATCTATTAGTCGTACCATCTGGCGGTAACATAACACATCCATGAGGTATCCCTCTGTCTCTCTGTGTGTTTTCAGTGACGTGGAGAACAAGTCCATGATCTTCTCCATGGACCAGACTGAGTCTCTGTTCAAGCCCCACCACATGAACAGCTTCTTCAGCCAGAGTGGTGCTGCGGTGACCGTGGACCCCATGGAGACCCTTTTCACCAAACTCAAAGAGGAGCCAGAGGACCTTGCTCAGCTGGCCCCCACACCTGGAGACGCCGTCATCACCCTCGACTTTGGTCAGAATCCCCCCCAATATCTCTGATTCTACTTTAGATCTCTCCCTAACCATACCCCGTATCATCCCATTACTACCCATCTCCCCAAAGCCATGCTGCAGGGCACATGATATGGTAGAAGATAAACATGTACCGGTACTTATAGCTGCACCATTTCTAACGTCATCCCCAGGCTCCAATTGATGGTGCATAGAACCTGGTAACTGTGCAAAAAACTGGGACTTGATGTGGTTGAAATCAAGGTGGGAGAGGGAGCGATGGAATTTGCAATCAAAATAAATGTTCTATCACATTGACCATATTATTTTTGGGAAGACCAATTTATTCTGAGTTCGGGCATTTAAAGTTTATATGTGAAAACTATTCGCATACTTTTAGATTTTCTGAACTCACTTCCTTGTTTCAATCACTTGCGCTGCTCGCGCTTTGAAGTCCACAATGTAGGGGGGAGGTTATAAGGGTTATGCTAGATGGTGATGGACTGAGAGATCAGCCAATCAAAACCACAATGTAGGGGGGAGGTTCTAAGGGTATGCTAGATGGTGATGGACTGAGAGATCAGCCAATTAAAACCAGTGGTTGTTTCGTCATCTCCTGCCATAGACTTCCAGTCAAGTCCCGTTCTGAGGCGCTGGGAAACCAGACAGTTCGACAGAAAGAGAGCTGGCTGGTGGACGAGATTACACCATCTGTAGTCTAAGATAATGCTGTAACTTCTATGAAAACAGGAATGCTAACCATGTACTGTTTATATGGTTGTGTCCTACAGGAAGGCCACCGTTTGAGGAGCCTCATCCTCCTCTCTACCCCAAGATGTCACCCATGCCCCCTCCGGCCCCCCAGGGCTGGGGCAGTGATCCCCATAAGCCCTGCCCAGCAGGAGACATGTCCAAACAAATGGCTGCCACTTTCTCAGTACCCCAGAACCCCACACCGGGCAGTGCCACCCCCAGCACCGCCCCCTCTAGCCTGAGCAGTTATTCCACGGTACGTAGCTACTACTGTCCCTGGAACTGTCTAGAACTCTTCTATCATTCTTCTATCATCTATTCTCTTATTCACCACATCCTCTACCACAAGCCTGATTTACTAGATGTTTATTTATTGTGTGTGTGTGTGTGTGTGTGTGTTTGTCACGATGTGTGTACTTGTTTGTGTGTGTGTGCGTGTGTTTGTTTGTGTGTGTGTGTGTGTGTGTCACAGGAGGTTGGTGGCACCGTCATTGGGGAGGAGGGGCTCGTGGTAATGGCTAGAGTGGAATCAGTGGAATGGTATGAAATACATCAAACACATGGTTTGATGCCATTACATTCGCTCCATTCCAGCCATTATAATGAGTCGTCCTCCCCTCAGCAGCCTCCACTGGTGTGTGTGTTATGGAGTGGGCATAGATCCTGGGTGCTTGGGACAGGGGGCAGAGTGTGGTGAGAATGGAGGGGTGGATGGTTGGAATAACCACTGGTCACTTAGTTACTTAGGCCTCAAGAGAGCTTTTATCATGTCCTCTCTCTCTCTCTCTCTCTCATTCTCTCTCTCTCTCATTCTCTCTCTCTCATTCTCTCTCTCTCTCTCTCATTCTCTCTCTCTCACTCTCTCTCTCTCTCTCTCTCTCTCTCTCTCTCTCTCTCTCTCTCTCTCTCTCTCTCTCTCTCTCTCTCTCTCTCTCTCTCTCTCCCAATTCAATTCAATTTAAGGGCTTTATTGGCATGGGAAACATATGTTAACATTGCCAAAGCAAGTGAAGTAGATAGTAAACAAAAGTGAAGTAAACAATAAAAATGTACAGTAAACATAACACTCACAGTTCCAAAAGAATAAAGACATTCCAAGTGTCATTTTATGTCTATATAGAGTGTTATAATGATGTGCAAATAGTTAAAGTACAAAAAGGAAAATAAATCAACATAAATATGGGTTATATTTACAATGGTGTTTGTTCTTCACTGGTTGCCCTTTTCTTGTGGCAATAGGACACAAATCTGGCTGCTGTGATGGCACACTGTGGTATTTCATCCAATAGATATGGGAGTTTATCCAAATTGGATTTGTTTTAGAATTCTTTGTGGGTCTGTGTAATCTGAGGGAAGTATGTGTCTCTAATATGGTCATACATTTGGCAGGAGGTTAGGAAGTGCAGCTCAGTTTCCACCTCATTTTGTGGGCAGTGTGCACATAGCCTGTCTTCTCTTGAGAGCCAGGTCTGCCTACTCTGCCTTCCGAGTGGCGCAGTGGTCTAAGGCACTGCATCGCAGTGCTAGCTGTGCCACTAGAGATCCTGGTTCGAATCCAGGCTCTGTTGTAGCCGGCCGCGACCGGGAGACCCATGGGGAGGCGCACAATTGGCCCAGCGTCGTCCAGGGTAGGGGAGGGAATGGCCGGCAGGGGATGTTGGTAGAGCATGGCGTTTGCAACGCCAGGGTTGTGGGTTCGATTCCCACGGGGGGGGGGCCAGTATGAAAAAAATAAAAATATATAATGTATGCACTCACTAACTGTAAGTCGCTCTGGATAAGAGCGTCTGCTAAATGACTAAAATGTAAAATGTAATGCCTACGGTGGCCTTTCTCAATAGCAAGGCTATGCTCACTGAGTCTGTACATTGTCAAAGATTTCCTTAAGCTTGGGTCAGTCATAGTGGTCAGGTATTCTGCCACTGTGTACTCTCTGTTTAGGGCTAAATAGCATTCTAGTTTGCTCAGTTTTTTTGTTAATTCTTTCCAATGTGTCAAGTAATTCTCTTTTTGTTTTCTCATGATTTGGTTGGGTCTAATTGTGTTGTTGTTGTTGTCCTGGGGCTCTGTGGGGTCTCTCTCTCTCTCTCTCTCTCTCTCTCTCTCTCTCTCTCTCCCACTCTCTCTCTCTCTCTCTCTCTCTCTTTCTCTCTCTTCGTGTGTACAGCCCAGCAGCCCAGGGGATTACTACAGCGAGAGAGAAAGTGACCTGAAGGTAGAGCTGACTGAGAAGCTATTTGCTCTGGACACAGAGGGGCCCAAGAGCCCTGGCAGCACCCAGGTCAGTCTCACTGGCACTTCACAGACTCAATCAGTGTGGTTAAGGAAGGTGGACATAATACTATATTGACACAATTGGTCATGGTTGCTTTCTTGTCAAGTTTAAATGCACTTCAGAAATGTGATGTAATGTGATGTGACCCTCTCAGTCGGCCCTGAGTGATCTGGACCTGGAGACCCTGGCTCCCTACATCCCCATGGACGGAGAGGACTTCCAGCTCCATCCCATCATTCCTGAAGAGGCCTCTGGAGGCCCAGAGGGGGCCGCTGGCCCACTGGGCCACCCCACCACACAGAACAGCTTCAGCAACATCGCCAGCCTCTTCCAGACCCTGGGATCCCCACAGTCTGCCCACTACCAGCCCGCCAAGTGGGCCCCAGGAGACAGGAGAGGCCCCAACCACAGCCAAATGAGCCCCATGGACTCCAGGTCTATTGTGCCCTACACAGTCCCCGCACAGATCCCCCCCTACCACGCCCCTCTGTCCTCCATGGGTGGACATCAGAACCTGCAGTGGCCCCCAGATCCTCTGTTAAATTATATGGTGAACTCCATGGACAGAAGCCACTCATGTCAGAACATGCCAGTCAACATGATGCACAAGGAGAGGTACTATAGAGGGCCTTCAGTGTGTCTGTCCTACTGATTCAGTGTGTCTGTCTTACCGGTCTTTATTCAGTTGGGTTCTTGTACTGATGGTTGTTAGAGCTAGAGTAGTGTACAGAGATGGTTGTTAGAGCTAGAGTAGTGTACAGAGATGGTTGTTAGAGCTAGAGTAGTGTACAGAGATGGTTAAGTAATGTGATGCTCTTCTGCAGGTCAATGGAGAACTTTGTCCAGGCCTACAGAGACATGAGTCCCGCCAGAATTGCCATAGCCAACAACGTCAAGCGCTCTTTCACACAAATGGCAGTGGTACGTTTACCCTCTCACTGCTTTATGACCGTAAGCTATGGTGTGTGTATCCAGGTTGAGCTCACTGTTAAATATTCCATGTGAGTTGTATTAGATACTGAAACTGCAGACTGGTTTTTACTAAGTTGTTGACTGTAATGTGTGTCTGTGTTTGTATTTGTGTTTATCAGGGTGACACCACCCTCAGTACGCCTTCAAAGATGATGAGGAATGAAAGCTGTGCCGTTATGGACAGATCTCTCAGCACCAGCTCACTGGAAGGTACTGTATGGTGGCCCACATGGGACATGCAGTGCACAAACAAAAATAAAAAATATCACTTATAGTACAAGAACAGTAGAGAAAATAGAGCGATATTGAACTCATCTTAATCTCTCTCTTTCTCTTTATTTTACAGATAAAGATATGTGCATACCTGGGGGTGTTGACAAGTGTCTCAGCCCCCTTCAGCAGCACAGGAAGTCCCAGTATCCAGGATGTGGAAACAGTGCATCCAAAAAATCATTCCCCGAACAGTGCTGCAACTACAAAGAATACCGTATGCTGCCCTCCAAAACAGAGGGTAAGTTTGGCTTGTTTATTTCAATTGTGATGCCACTCCCATGTGTTGTATGTCATAAAAAAAAGATTGACTGATCAAACCAGTAGCAACCAGTTGGACAGGCTGTGACCGGGAAAGGAAAATGCATTAATGTTCACGTGGAGATTTTGGCAATGATAAAACATATTCAAATCTATTTTTAGACAGGCATGCAATTGATTTGGACAAATTATATTGTTCATTTTGTAATCACAGTCCTTTTACATTACTTGGCGCCAGTCAATGAACTGTCCTCCTCAGATGATGGTTGATTGGCGGTTGCCCCAAAGCCATTTCCTCCCTACTAACAGACTGACTCCATGTTTGTTGTGTGTGTAGGGGATGCACTTATTGTGCAAAGTTACAGACGCACAAATATCATACCCCCTCAAAAATTATAACCTCCCATGTTATTGTAATGGTGAGAGGTTAGCATATCTTGAAGGTATGATATTTGTGCGTCTGTAACTTTCTCACTCTTCATTATTCACGATTCATTCAGGACCATCCATAATCATGGTGGCATCCACATTAATGTAGTAGTGTTTAAAAACATATTCTATAATTATTTACAATAAAAGTCACTGTAAAATGACCTATCTACTCCCTACTAACGGACTGACTTTGCTGTGTGTGTAGGGGTTGCCAGTCGGCTGTTGGGCCCGTCCTTTGAGACCTATTGTCTGCCAGAGCTCACCCGCTATGACTGCGAGGTCAATGTCCCTCTCCAAGGCAACCTGCACCTGCTGCAGGGCAGTGACCTACTGAGAGCCTTGGACCAGGCTACCTAGACCCAGCCCTACACCCCTTACTCCCCTCCCCTCCCCTGGACCAGGCTACCTAGACCCAACCCTACACCCCCTACTCCCCTCCCCTCCCCTGGACCAGGCTACCTAGACCCAGCCCTACAACCCCTACTCCCCTCCCCTCCCCTGGACCAGGCTACCTAGACCCAGCCCTACAACCCCTACTCCCCTCCCCTCCCCTGGACCAGGCTACCTAGACCCAGCCCTACACCCCCTACTCCCCTCCCCTCCCCTGGACCAGGCTACCTAGACCCAGCCCTACACCCCCTACTCCCCTCCCCTCCCCTGGACCAGGCTACCTAGACCCAGCCCTACACCCCCTACTCGCCTCCCCTGGACCAGGCTACTTAGACCCAGCCCTACACCCCCTACTCCCCTCCCCTGGACCAGGCTACCTAGACCCAGCCCTACACCCCCTACTCGCCTCCCCTGGACCAGGCTACTTAGACCCAGCCCTACACCCCCTACTCGCCTCCCCTGGACCAGGCTACTTAGACCCAGCCCTACACCCCCTACTCCCCTCCCCTGGACCAGGCTACCTAGACCCAGCCCTACACCCCCTACTCGCCTCCCCTGGACCAGGCTACTTAGACCCAGCCCTACAACCCCTACTCCCCTCCCCTCCCCTGGACCAGGCTACCTAGACCCAGCCCTACACCCCCTACTCGCCTCCCCTGGACCAGGCTACTTAGACCCAGCCCTACACCCCCTACTCCCCTCCCCTCCCCTGGACCAGGCTACCTAGACCCAGCCCTACACCCCCCTACTCCCCTCCCCTGGACCAGGCTACCTAGACCCAGCCCTACACCCCCTACTCCCCTCCCCTCCCGTGGACCAGGCTACCTAGACCCAGCCCTACACCCCCTACTCCCCTCCCCTGGACCAGGCTACTTAGACCCAGCCCTACACCCCCTACTCCCCTCCCCTGGACCAGGCTACCTAGACCCAGCCCTACACCCCCTACTCCCCTCCCCTCCCCTGGACCAGGCTACTTAGACCCAGGCTACGCTCCCCCTCTGTCTGTCTGTCTGTCTGTCTGTCTGTCTGTCTGTCTGTCTGTCTGTCTGTCTGTCTGTCTGTCTGTCTGTCTGTCTGTCTGTCTGTCTGTCTGTCTGTCTGTCTGTCTCTCTCCCCCTCTGTCTGTATGTCTGTCTCTCTGTCTCTCTCCTCCTCTGTTTGTCTGTCTGTCTGTCTCTCTCCCCCTCTGTTTGTCTGTCTGTCTGTCTCTCTCCCACTCTGTCTGTCTGTCCATACGACGCTGTTACAGACAAACTAACAAACACAACAGTCTAAAATCCGGATGGAACATTATCTACTGTAAGCATGATATCTGGGGGTTTCCTTCCTTTTCCCTTACCGTCCACCTTCCTTCAATCCCGTTGACCTGCTGCAGGGCAGTGACCTACTGAGAGCCTTGGACCAGGCTACCTAGACCCAGCCCTACACCCCTTACTCCCCTCCCCTCCCCTGGACCAGGCTACCTAGACCCAACCCTACACCCCCTACTCCCCTCCCCTCCCCTGGACCAGGCTACCTAGACCCAGCCCTACAACCCCTACTCCCCTCCCCTCCCCTGGACCAGGCTACCTAGACCCAACCCTACACCCCCTACTCCCCTCCCCTCCCCTGGACCAGGCTACCTAGACCCAGCCCTACACCCCCTACTCCCCTCCCCTGGACCAGGCTACTTAGACCCAGCCCTACACCCCCTACTCGCCTCCCCTGGACCAGGCTACTTAGACCCAGCCCTACACCCCCTACTCCCCTCCCCTCCCGTGGACCAGGCTACCTAGACCCTGCCCTACACCCCCTACTCGCCTCCCCTGGACCAGGCTACCTAGACCCAGCCCTACACCCCCTACTCCCCTCCCCTCCCCTGGACCAGGCTACTTAGACCCAGGCTACGCTCCCCCTCTGTCTGTCTGTCTGTCTGTCTGTCTGTCTGTCTCTCTCCCCCTCTGTCTGTATGTCTGTCTCTCTGTCTCTCTCCTCCTCTGTTTGTCTGTCTGTCTGTCTCTCTCCCCCTCTGTTTGTCTGTCTGTCTGTCTCTCTCCCACTCTGTCTGTCTGTCCATACGACGCTGTTACAGACAAACTAACAAACACAACAGTCTAAAATCCGGATGGAACATTATCTACTGTAAGCATGATATCTGGGGGTTTCCTTCCTTTTCCCTTACCGTCCACCTTCCTTCAATCCCGTTGACCTAGTCTGTCTCTCACTGCCTTTGACTGGTGTCTGTTTGCATGTTTCTCACTGGATAGTTACAGTGCTTGTCAGGCCATGAAGTTGATTGGTCAAATCAGAGCATGCCCTTACATTAGGTAGATAGTCCTACTTTTGGTGCCTTTTTCATGGCATTAGAGGTCATATTAGGATCAGGGAGACTTTGGCCTAGATCACAGGAGGCTGGTGAGGGGAGGACAGCGCATAATAATGACTGGAATGAAGTGAATGGATGAATACCGTTCCATTTATTCCCTTCCAGCCATTACTATGAGTCTGTCCTCCCCAATTAAGGTGTCACCAACCTCCTGTGGTCTAGATTCAATCATATCAAACGTAAACCGGCTATAGCTGATGCTTTGGTGGTATCGGAGGGTTAACTGCGTTGGAGCTGTCAAGTCAGAGTGGCTGCTGGTCATTGTCAGGAAGCCACACCCGTCCCACTCCCGTTAGAAGTTCAGAAGGAGAAAGTTATATAGAAATAATGATGCTCAAATAAAAAATCATTAAATTAAATAATGAGGCTTTCTATCATCCTATTGGAGGTGTAGATTACATCTCTCATTCTAGTGTTCAAACAAGGCTGCATGGGATTTCTCTCAATGTGAATCCATGCAGCCAATGGCAATGTCCACTTTAGGTATAATGCCGCTTGTGGATTTGATGGCTCTAATGCAGTCCCACCTCCAACACCACCAGAACAACTGCTATGTCAATTTAAAGACATAAACTCTAACGTTTCTACTATAATTTCAAGATAGTGTTTTAGTGTTGATGTGCCTTGGTACTTTGTCTCATCAACCCAGTAGATGCAGATTGTATTCCTGTGTTTTAGATGTTACTCCATGGTGCTGGCGTCTGTTTTGTTTTTAAGTGTCATTTTTTCAGAGTATATGCACAAGTATAATGAATTTGTTGGCAGGCCAGTACAGATCTGTTATTGCGCTTAAAGAAAAAAGAAAATGGAGAGAAAAAAATCTGAAAGATATCCATATGATAAGTTCCCCTTTTGACATGTAGAAATTTGAATATTGTAAACAAACAAAATTGACACAAAAGTAATCTCTTTCAACAGTATCTAAAAAGGTGATGGTGCTTTATAGATATAACCATCTTGCATTTGTAGAGGCAACTTTATATGTTTATTGGATCCACTTTTATTAACACTGTATTTTGATGTTGTTTATTCTTCTTGCTGAGATTGTCTTTAAAGGTGATATATAGCTCCAACAGGATTGGGATAGTGACACATTTGTTGTTGTGTTGGCTCTGTACTCCAGCACTTTGGATTTGAAATTATATAGACTGTCAGCTTTAATTTGAGGGTATTGTCATCCATGTCGGGTGAACCGTTTAGAAATTACAGCACTTATTGTGCAAAGTTACAGATGCACAAATATCATACCCCCTCAAAAATTATAACCTCCCCTGTTATTGTAATGGTGAGAGGTTAGTATGTCTTGAAGGTATGATATTTGTGCATCTGTAACTTTCTCACTCATCATTATTCATGATTCATTCAGGACTATCCGTAATCATGGTAGCATCCACATTAATGTAGAAGTGTTTAAAAACATATTCTATAATTATTTACAATAAAAGTGACTCCAAAATGACACAATACATTATTTACCATTTATTTCTATTGGACACAAAATAATCTGAAACACAACCAAAACAAACAGCAAATGCATCCAACAAATGTGTAGAGTCACAAGCTTGATGTTGTCATTTTGTGCTAGGAATATGGGACCAAATATTTGACTTTTGACTACTTTAATACACATATAAGGGAATTTACCCCAATACTTTTGGTCCGCTAAAATGGGGGGACTATGTACCAAAAGCGCTGTAATTCCTAAACGGTCCACTCGATATGGATGACAATACCTTCAGATTAAAGCTGACAGTCTGCACTTTAACCCCATAATCATCGTATCATTTCAAATCCCAAGTGCTGGAGTACAGAGCCAAAATAACAACAACATATTCACTGTCCCAATACTTTTGGAGCTCACTGTAATTTGCCTTAACATTTCCTTAAGGTTGTCTCAATGATGACTCAGTGTTATGCCCTTCAAATGAACAGATTGTCTCTGTAGACATAGATTGTCCAATAAAACCACACTAGCCAATACAAATCCTGATGTTTAGCTTGGAGAGCTTTAGAGCCGGTATGTTGACTAGATGTAATTAGTCCAGCATAGATCTCCCCTAGTGGTGATAACAGAGATGTTGTAGAGGAGACTATTCTAGAAGGATAAAGAATCTGATTCAGTAAATCGACCTACAGATGTGGTCAAATATATTGGCACCCTTGCACTTTACAATGGAGTGAAATGGAGCAGAATGTTGAATGGCTATTTTTACCCTGTAGGCAACTTACCACAGGTGAGATAAATTACACAGTAATCGAGAATCATTGCCTCCAACCAAATTATACTGAACAAAAATATAAACGCAACATACAACAATTTCAAAGATTTTACTGAGTTACAGTTCATATAGGAAATCAGTCAATTGAAATAAATAAATTAGACCCTAATCTATTTATTTCACATGACTGGGAATACAGATATGCATCTGTTGGTCACAGATACAGTACCTTAAAAAATAAAGTAGGGGCGTGGATCAGAAAACCAGTCAGTATCTGGTGTGAGCACCATTTGCCTCAGGATCTCATCACGGTATCTCTGTGCATTCAAATTGCTATCGATAAAATGCAATTGTGTCCATTGTCCGTAGCTTGTGCCTTCCCATACCATAACCCCACCGCCACCATGGGGCACTCTGTTCACAATGTTGACATCAGCAAATCACTCGCCCACACGACGCCATACACGTGGTCTGCAGTTGTGAGGCCAGTTGGACATACTGCCAAATTCTCTAACAAGGTAGAGAAATGAACGTTCAATTCTCTCGCAACAGCTCTGTTGGACATTCCCGCAGTCAGCATTCCAATTGCACGCTCCCTCAAAACTTGTGGCACCGGTTGTGGGACATTTTAGAGTGGCCTTTTATTGTCCCCAGCACAAGGTTCACCTGTGTAATGATCATGCTGTTTAATCAGCTTCTTGATATGCCACACCTGTCAGGTGGGTGGATTATCTTGGCAAAGGAGAAATGCTCACTAACAGTAATGTAAACAAATTTGTGCACAAAGTTTGAGAGAAATAAGCTTTCTGTGCGTATTGAAAATTTCTGGGATCTTTTATTTCAGCTCATGAAACATGGGACCAACACTTTACATGTTGCGTTTATATTTTTGTTCAGTGTAATTATAATTGTTTATAATTTTGACTTTGAAGTGACTTTTTTTTTTTTTTTTTTTTTACTTATTTTAGAATAAATAGTAAATCATGCAAGGGTGCCAAAGTAGTTGACCTCATCTGTATATGTAGAGTTAATGTGGGTTTGGGTTGTTCAGTAATAAGAGGCTGGTGTGGGTGATATGTCTATCAGTGAGGTTGGTGGAATATCAGATGATGTCTGTGTTAGACTCAGTGTGATGAGGTGTGAATGACAGAGTCAGGCGCAGGAGGTAAAACACAGAAATCAAGAGTTTATTCAGTGTACAATAATGTAGCGCATATAGCAACAGAACGAAACTAGCACAAGGGAAAATCAACCTTGGCTGCATACAAGTAAAGAGTAGCTCAACCGAGCTACTCACTCTCACAACGAGCAATCACTCACAAAGGACGAGGGGGCAGAGGGAACACTTATACACAGACTAATGAGGGAATGAGTACCAGGTGTGTGTGATTGACAAGACAAGACAAGACAAGACAAATGGAGTGATGATAAATGGAGCGGTAGTGGCTAGTAAGCCGGTGACGACGAACGCCGAAACCTGCCCGAGCAAGGAGGAGGGGCAGCCTCGGCTGAATTCGTGACACTCAGTAATAGTTACATATAGAGCAATGGGTGGCAGATACCTGAGGTTGTAGAGAGAGCTGAGGGACAGATAGAGAGGGACTGATGCACTTATCTCTCCACACGCTACTTCATGCAGTATTCATCTCTCTCTCCCTCTCCCTCTCCCTCCCTCCCTCTCTGTTTTCCTCTCTCTTTCACTTTCCCTCCCATGTTCAATTTTAGAAACAGCCCTTCCAAGTTTAGCCATCCTGTCAACCTTACAACATTTTAGACAAAACATTGTTTCCACTGTTAATGGAAATATATCGACGCCGTGAGTTCCTCCAAAGACATGAGAAAAGATGCTCCTTGTTGTCATTGAGCCAAAGTGAATGGAATGTGGGACGTTTCCTTAAATTACCCATGACCCAGATAAATAAACACAAGGATAAAATGATAGGATGTATAATTTGATATATTTTTTTATTCTATGGGAACAAGGAGGAGTACATAAATGAGTTCCCGTGTGTGTGACAGATAGTTAGATCAGACCACTCCGTTAGCTGAAACATTTCTGGTTTTGGTCCCTATATGCGCTGTCTAAAACACACAGATATGCAGTATTTAACATGTAAAACAAGACAAATTCCATGCTTTGCATTTGTGGTTTTAAACTTCTATGAGTTAAAATCTGTTGTTATTACTTGAATTCTAAGTGATAGAAAAACCAAAGTAAGATCAAGATAAAGTTCTCCACCTTGCAGGCCATACTCCTGTTCCTGACGGAGATGAGGCTGGGATGTCAGATGG